ATATAGTTTTTTAATGCCTACTGATACTTTGTAAAATAAAACATACAGAGCGTTCACAAAATTAGAAATAGTAGTTACTTAAATAAGGTGCATTTTCATGTATTATCATTATTAGAACATTATTACAGGGTGTGACAGAAATAAATAAAAAATTCGTAGTACAAATATTTTTTTTTTTTTTAGTATAGATATTTAGAGTTCCCACTAAATTATAAATCAGTATAAAAGAAACTGCATTTAAAAAAAACTTGTATTACATATATTAACTATAAACCAATCACACTATCAAAATCTGACTCATCTTTCAGCAGCATTTAAATAGTTCCTAATAAAACACTTGTAGGGTACTTTATATTATTTTCGTATCGTGCATATCCTAGGTAACACAAAACACTAGAAATATGAGCATACGTGCCCATAGTTATTGCACCAGTGTTACATGTACAATAATAATCCTGTTAAATTTCGTTATACTCTATAAATAACATCTGCTTTACATTATTCGTAAATCTTGTATTATTTTGGTTTAGATCTAACCACTATCCCCTTCTACAAAGCAAATTATCACGTTCTACGCGTGCTTGTACCCTCTTCTAATTTTCTGCGTAAATTTGTACAAGTCTTCTTGACAACTCAGGCGTAGCATCTGGTATGGTGATTGTTTGGGGATACCTGTTAATTAATACACACCCAATTTTTAAAAGATCTTTCAAGTGCACACAATGATCCAATTGAATTGTATTTTTAAAAAAAATTAAGATATTTTTTAGATGGCCATTTCTAGATTCCACAATCCATCTCGTTTTTGTAATCAATTGAGCCGTAGGTAGGTGGGTTAGGAGAAATTACGCAACAGAGACCTAGATTTTCCAGAAATTCAGCTGCATCTCTATATCGCCGATCTACAACAAGTCCAGCTTTACCTAAATTATATTTTTTATGGACTGAAAATGATTTCCTCTGAATACAAAATTGCTTGAGGAATTTCTTAATTGGCACTATACAAAATTTTAAAAAATTCATGTCTTTGGATAAAAAGTTTGCAATTTCTAACATCGTTACACTGGACACCAATACTTTCTGGCACATATCTTGTGATTAAACTAATTGTGACCAGTAATATTTTGTTACTCACATTTTGGCTTTATGAGTAACCAAACATGTACGCAATGAATGCATCGGATAGACCTTGGCTTAATTTTATCTAAAAGGCCAATAAATCTCTATTCTTTATCTTTCTATGATTTCCATAAAGAACAACGGGATTACAATATGTATATATTTCTCCAAATTGCCGCTTCGACAGAAACACAACATTTTTAAATTCTGTATCTTCTAAATTATATTCATGACCATATCTTATTCTTAAAATATTGGACGAGTTATCGTTCATTTTTGAAAACCATAGTGCAGTTTTTCCTTTCCTTTCATAATAATGAAAGAAGGAATGGTAATGGGGCCTATTCTGTAACAATTCCTTTATATTTAACGGCCTTTAAAAATATTTTCTTTACTCAACGGTAAATTTAAATACAGTGAAGTGAACCAGCACTGAAACTACAATAACTACAACACTGAGGGAGTGTGTGTCCCAGGTTCGAATCCCACCATTGGCCGGGATGTTTTCATTTAATTTAATTATTTAAAATTAATTCTGATGCTTGGGTAGGATTCCCCACTCGACCGTTCACTGTTGGGTTCTAATTAACAGTGCTGTTCCTAAAGAAAGAGTAACAAAGCCTACACATAACACCAGGCGAAATAACCTTAGCAGTTGATGCCGATGGCTATTCGATTTTCACCAATCTAGAGGATTCAAATTCAAGGGTTGAAGTGGGTTTTTCAAGTAGCAGGTCATTTCCGAAAAGGAATCTTCTTGCGCAATGAAGCGCGCCATATTTTCTTGAACCATTTCATGGTGACCTGCCCACAATTGAGTGTTCATTATTGGTTCTGAAAATAATTGTATACATAGTAAAAGTAAGTTTACAGAAAACCGGGGGGAAAACGTTGTCATATTTAGAGCAGAAATGGTTATTAATTTTTTTTCTCAAGTACACATAAGAAATAATTTAGGTACCTATAATTATTAAATTTCAGTATTACAAAAAAAACACAATTAGAATTATTGCTTTCCACATCAAAAGTAATTATGTAAAATTGAAATTGAAACTAGTACCTAAAATTTAAAAAATACAATGGCTTACCAGTAGTATATTCCTTAGGTGGTTCATCAGCTGGATGTTGATGCATTTGGGATGATGCTTCATTTATTATTTCAGCACCCCTAGCACAGTTTAAGGGATCTTTGATATAAATTTTCTTAAATCAGGGATCCAACAATGTAGACACTGCTAGGAGATGTACTTTTTCTGCTGGTCCAAACCTACTTCTAATTTCCTTTAAAAGGTTGCTTTTAAGAGACTATGCAGTATCTGAATAATTTGCCGCACTGGTGTCAACTGATGAAATGCTTCTCTCTAAATTATAAATTAAAGGTATTACAATGCTGCTTGTTGAATATGTTTGTCCAGAAAGTTGTGTTGTTGCATTATCGAGGGGTTGTAGAAGCAACATGACAACTTTTAATTCTTCTATGAGAGGTCCGGTTATCATAACAGGGGCAGTTAGTTGCATGTCTATTTAAAATAGCATTGAGTTCTTCTCTGAGCTCTAAAAATCGGCATACCATATGATAAGAAGAGTTCCATCTTGTAGGGACCATCTGCACAAGTTTTTTTTCAATCTGGTCTGCCTGTGCTTTTCTCAACTCATCTGCTGCAACTACACTTTGCTTGAACCATGTCACAATGTCTTTTATTGATTTTATCATATCTTGAAAAGCAGTTATGGGTCTTATAGCTTTTTCAGCAATTAGGTTCAGCTGGTGGGCAAAACAATGTATATGGCGTTTATTGCCAAATAACAAATCAACTGCTTTGCACATATTTGCTGCACCATCAGTGACTACAGCTGTAACATTCTCATTAGCAATGTTCTATTCTATTAAAACATTTTCCATTTTGCTCACAATAATACGATGACACCAAGAGTACCCGCATGCATTTGAGTGCCGTCACCAAAATGAACAGTAATACCAAGGTAGCTCCTAGTCTGCATATCAGTCCATATATCAGTCGTAATGGTCAGGTGTTTACCTTCAATTTTGTTTTTAAATACACTCGCAACTGAATCATATTTTTTATCCAGCAGGGTACTTATTGTCTTGCGAGAAGGTATTTTGTATTGTGGGGCTACGGTTCTCATCAAGTATTTGAAACCTTCATCCTCAACAACTGAGATGGGTTGAAAATCATATCATACAAAATGGCAGTGGTTGTTTTATTAAAATTTCTTTCATCTCCTGACCAGGAAAAAATATTTTTAAAAGACTGAGTAATTTTTGGTTGCATCTTATTCGCTTTAGGATTCTTTTCGATAACGTACTTACATTGCTGCATGAAGAAAAAGACAAGTCATTATCGTCGCCACGAGCCACTGAGGTACTGGGACTACTGGCAGTAATCTCATACGCTTTATGATTCTTTGAAGATATCGTACTTACATTGCTGCATGAAGAAAAAGACAAATCATTGTCGTTGCCATAAGCTGCTGAGGTACTGGGAGTACTGGGACTACTGACAGTAATGAACTCAATATTTTCTTCTTGATTGTATTCATGACAATCTATATTTTCCGGAGCTATCCTTTTGTTTGTATTGGACTCTTCTATTTTAAACAAGGTTTCAAATGCCTTTGGATGTGTTCCTCAGATTTGAAGTGTTTCCTGAGGTCTTTATTTTTCTTGGACACAATAAACACTGGGAGAATTCTGGTGTATTTTTGCATTTTCGCCACAAAATACTTTTTCTTGGAGCCATATCAAAGACACAATGAAATTAACACTACGGAGAATCGCGCACACAACTCAAAAAGCACTACTTATTGCTTACAATACAAAATACAAGTAAAACAATCCGAGACGGAATTCGGACTTCCCCGAAACAATAATCAATAAAAATCTACAACAATGTTTTTTGCTGTAATGTGTCGCCATCTATCGTAGTGAAGTTAAACGAGTCCAAAGCGCGTTCGATTATTATTTTAGATTTAATGATGCGGCGACCAGAAAATTGCGGACCCGCTAAGTTTCCTTTTTTGTGTATTTTTAATTTGTAATTGAGTAATTGAGATTTTCAGCAAAACATTGACGCAAGTTCTTCAAAATATCGATGTTTTCATCGATGGTTAAAGTTAACAACATCGATGGTAAAAACATCGAACGTAAAATATCGATGTTTTACAAAAATCGATAATTATCGCCCACCCCTAATACAAACTATTTATTCGCGGACCTACAAAAATAGATACGATAATAATAAACAAAATGTCTTTCTTATCAATATGACGGGAGTGGACAAACTGCACAGACTGAGAAAAATATAATCCTAACAAGGGAAAAATATTTCAACCGGGAATGGCTCCGGCCCAATCCACATATATATTATACAACAGCCAAATATAGCACCACCAATACAAACACAGCATATAGTACAACCCTATTTCTATCAAAATTATCAAGATCAATTTCCCTCCCTTTTAAATAATTGTTTCTACTCTGTAATTCCTCAACCGACACCCTTATTTAATCAGAACATAAACATAAACATAAACACCTTACTACCTACAACATGCATCCCAACATAGCGATCTAGATCTAATACATGAATATGCAGATATACCATCAACAGACGAATCGATAGAGGAAAGTGACAAGGAAGACACAAACGAAAACGAAAGAACCCATTAATGGCAAAAATTTAAGAATAATAACAGAAAACGTACAAATTTACAGATAAACACCGATAATCAGCAGACCATCAAAACATCTAATACTTTTCAAGTTCTCACAGAAGAAGACAACAATCAAAGTAATGTTCCAAATTAACAATCCCCGACGCCCACCAATATTTATCTAAGGTGTCAAAAATTTCAAAGCTATGATTGATAACTTCTCTGAAGTCCTAGAAGATGAATCATATGTTACTAAAGCACAATCAAATATTACTGTTAAAATAAACACTCATAGCATTGAAGATCTCAGAAAACTAGTTAGGTATCTAAACGATACCAACATAATACATCATGCATACCAGATTAAACAAGAAAGATCATACAGAATCGTACTACGTGGCCTTCATTACTCTATTCCGAGGGAAGACATAAAAAAGAAACTCGAAAAAAAGGGACACAAAGTCAAACATTATCAATTTGAGGCGCACGGTAAGCAAGGAGCCCTTACCGATGTTCTTCGTCGATCTAGAGCCAAATGAAAACAATAAACAAATGTACGATATGAGAAATGTATTAAATACCAACATTAGTATCAAAGCGCCACGCACCAAAAATGATATAATTTAGTGCATACGCTGCCAGGCCTACGGACACTCTAAATCCTATTGCAACAAGCCATATAATTGTGTCAAATGCAGAGAATCGCACGACTGCATAACTTGTACCAAATCAAGAAACACCCCAGCAACATGCGACCTATGTGGCGGGAACCATCCGGCCAATTATAAAGAATGTTCCATCTAAAAAGACCTGAACAAAAAACTACTCAAATCAACCGTTGAAGAAAATACCTGACAGAACCAACATTACCCCTAATACCACACCAACCCAACAATTCAGCCAACGACCTCAACAAAATATACTCAATTACACATACGCTACAGCAGTGAATAACAATAACAATAACCTAGCTGATAAACTCACCAACTTGTTGAGCGAATTTTAAACAACGTTTTCACAATTGTTTAATCAAAATAACATGATACTAAACGTGCTTACTACAGTCATCACCAAATTAACTAAATAATGACCCATTCGTTAAGAATTGCAGCTTGGAATGTTAACGGTCTAAAGAATCACATAAATTAAATAACCATGTTTTTAAATACTATTAAAATAGATATACTACTGATATCAGAAAGTCACTGTACCGAACATCGTGTAATAAAAATTCGAGCAACTATAGACCATTAGGAACTACAGCCATACACTACTAATAAAGTACAATGCACAGGGCATTTCCCAGGTTATTAACAATAAGAGCAATATACAGTCCACCGAGGCACACCATTACTGCAGAAGAATACAATAAATTTTTATCACCATTGGGGTTACATTTTATAGTAGCTGGCGACTAGAATACCAAACATACTAATTTAGGGCTCAAGATTAATTATTCCAAAAGGAAGAAACCAACTAGAGACTATACAGTCACTAAATTTAAAAAGCATGTCAAATGAAGAGCCCATCATACTGGCCAACAGACTTGAACAAAATACCGGATTTAATTGACTTTGCAGTAACAAAGGTTATTTCAAATATACACAGTCATATTAAAAGTAATTTAGATCTGGATTCAGACCACAGCGCTTTAGTAATAACTCTGAGCACAAATGTTATCTGGAGAACACAACTACAAAAGCTATGCAATAACAAAACAAAGAAACAGAGGAATCACACAATATCCCACTTCATATAAGACAATTGGTAACTGAGAAACGAAGAGCCAGAAAAAAATGGCAACCAGAAATCCTCAAGATTAATCAATTCAGACCAGACTAACTCACTATATAAAGATCGCTTTAAATGAAAACCAAAATGCTCGTTAAATTACTACACTTCCAATTTATCACCCCAAGATTACACAATATGGAAATTCAAGAGAATCGTTGTTGCAATTCCACCACTAAGAAAACCTGATGGAAATTGGACTCGCGCAAACGACGAAAAATGCAATACGTTTACAGAACACTTAGCAAAAGTTTTTACTCCAATACCATCAGTTAATCCAGATGCAGAGGTAAAAACATATTTGAGCTCTCCCAATCAACTATCAGCTCATTTAAGATCAATCTCCCCAGCTGAAGTATATCGAGAAATACAATTTATAAACCCACACAAAGCTCCTGGTTACGATCTCATTGTTGGAAAAGTTTTAAAATATTTACCAAGAAAAGTAATTTTACTTATTAATACAATATTTAATAGAATACTGCAGACTAATTATTTCCCAATACAATGGAAATATGCTCAAATAATTATGTTAGCGAAGCCAGAAAAATCTCTGCAGAACCCCAATTCATATAGACCCATAAATATACTGGCACAATTATCTAAAGTTTTTAAAGGATCCCTCAATAAAATTAGCGAAATAATACCTAAAGATGAACTGAACCTATACATAAATTTGTTTTCAGAGAACAACATTAGACAATCCAACAATGCCATAGGATTTTAAACTATATCAAAGAAACTTTAGAAAAAAAAATATTCTGTGGCTCTGTATTTTTAAATATTTAACAGGCATTTGACAAAGTATGGTATCAAGGACTACTATACAAGATAAAGCAGCTATTAGCTCACCACATATTCTTATTACTTAAATCATATCGTAGCAACAGATATATATATATATATATATATATATATATATATATATATATATACAAGTCAAAGTTCAAACCTGTTAATCCAACTACCAATCCATAAAGTCGGGTGTTCCTCAAGGAAGCGTCTTTGGCCCTTTCCTCTACCTACTATGTACTGCTGATATTTCGACCACCGACAACACACTTATCGCCACCTTTGCAGATGATACGGCAATCATGTCATCAGATCAAAATTCTATAAGAGCATTAGAAAGGATAAAGTTTCATTTATAACTACTACAAGATTGACTGCAACATTGGAGGATAAAAGTTAACACTGATAAATCCACACAAATCACGTTTACAACAAATTGCAGTGTTTGTCTACAAGTTTTTATCAACAACATGCAAATACCAGTGAAACCTGAAGTTAAATATCTTGGATTACACTTCACAAAAAGCCACTGTAAGAATTATAGATTCTGCATAATGTCGCGACCATTGTCAGGAACTCTTCAAAAAATATAAGATTTTACCGCTCCCTTGCTTGTATATATTTCAATTGCTTACTGCTATACACAGTGGATTGTCTAGTATTCCAACACATTCGAACATCCATCATTACGGTACAAGGGGGCGTGAAAAATCTGATAGTACCATATTTGCGAATTTATGTATCTTAAATCAACAAATAAAAATGAAAATATTAAACAGAAAATTTTACAAATTCGCGAAAGAGTTTTTACAGAAAAATTGCTTTTACAGTATATAGGAGTATATATCATTTTCTTGTTAAATTTCATAACTATTTTATTTGATAACAATTTTATAATTTACATTATCTTTTATTTATTTACAATCATTTTACATTTGAACGAATTATATTATTGTTATCTACGCGTTTATCGACGCTTATTTGTGCAGATTCCTTCCCCTGACGTTAAGACAGTCGCATTTTGCCGTCATTCACTCGTGAAAACAAAACAAAAACACAATAAACGAAGCTATTTTATTTTCCTGTCGAGGTTAATTCAGGGCAAGAGACCATCTCCAAAGTAAAATAGTAGTGTATCTTGCGTACTATCTGAGACAAGAGGATTTAATAGTGGCACATAATTGACATTAAGAATGTACAGTCCGGCGGATTCCAGGATAAGGACTGATTAAACGGCGATATACTTGGTTTAAGTAAATGAAGTGCACCTTCAACAGTCACAATGGGAAATTAATCCTGTGACAAAAGTCCATTTACTCAATGCAATTCGATGTATGTATGTTTCAACAAGACTTGCTATTAAATTTTAAAACTTCACAAATAAGAATGTGTTAAATTTATTTAATAAAGAACATTATTTTTATTTAATATCATTGGAAATATAAAATATTTTAACCACTTTAACTAAATGTGTTTTATGATTAGAAGGAAAGACATTTTCGAAATGGTTTCAAGAAAATTAGTTACCACCTGTCGGTTATAACTTGACTCATATGCATATTAGTTATAAGTTATAATACATTTAATTTATTATTTATAAAGCGTTATTTTTAGTGATTTTTGTATTTGCGTATACGGTGATATATTTAAAACATTTGAATAATTTAATTTTTTTCCAAATTTGTAACTGCTATAAGCCATTTCACCGATTTTGTAGTGTGCCTGGAATCATATACGACACAATTTCAGAGTGTTACCTCTCTCAGATTAAACAAATTCTACGTGTATGTGTGTGAAAGTAAGTTATTACAATAGGGAACAGACGAACCTATGTCTAATTTAACCATACTGTAACAATTTTGTTCTTTTTTTTGTAGTTTATTTAAAACCGTTTATTTACAATTTATTTAATACTTAAGGAAAATTATAATTCACACTTCTAATTTAATTTACAAATTATCTTTACTTGACAACATTTATATTGAAACTTAGCTTCAATCGACAAAGCCGTGCTATTTATATAAAAATATAACAGGTTAAAAAAATCCGTTCCTGGTTAGAAAAATCTCGAAGCGTTCGTGAATTCCTTCTTCCATGCATACAAAAACATTCTAGCCGAAACTTGATCATGAATCGGATTCCGGTGGCAAACGAAGACAGAGAACAAAGTCGGTTTCAGGCGATCGCATGACATTGTCCCCTTTTTAAGAGAGTTCCTCCTGGAACTAAATAAAACAAAATGGTTGTATCTGCAACTGGAACCACTTTTACATTTACATTCGCATGGAAATAAGAAGGGTTAGATTTTGCTGAAACATGGACACTAGGCGATGGCTGCAGAGCAGTATTTGAACTTCGATATCTTGGAAAATTCCTTCCACTATGTTTCTAATGATTTATTAATTCAGCTGATTGCTCTCTATCTTTGGCATGTCTCGTATCTGTACATGCTCCCTCAGATAAAGTAATGCTTCCCATACATCATGATAAATGAGACATCAATAATTTCTTTTAATGAGGTACTGATCTTTCCAAGATGTCTGAACCTTTGGAGAATAATCTTTTTGGGTTATGGAGCCAGACTCAGTCACCTTCCTTTAATCATCCTGCTGTGGCTTGAGTGGCGTACCGTTTTTCATTCTGTCGCTAAAGATTTGAAGATGAAAGCAAACCAGATCATCCATGTCGTCCGTTTTTCTTCGTAGCTACGTCTTCTTCAGGTCTGCCGCCAAATTCGAGGTCGCACGGTAGTCTCATCTCACGCCCAAAAAAACTTTTGATGGTATTTGGCACGTTGATTCAATAACAGTGGATCTATTGTATATTGCGAAAAGCGAAAGATACTGTTGCCAATCTCGCTGATGGTTGGAAACCACTTTTGACAGGTACTTGTCAATGGTCTTATTCATTCCCTCTACCATCCTTGCTGACTATATGGCCCAGGTAGTTAACTTTA